AATCTCTTACTACAACTCTTAAATGTTTCTTCATAGAAAAATATGTTTTCCTTGGCCTTTTGTGTTGCAAAATACTAACATCTCTCCGATTTCACAGTTTTCATCCAGAATTAGAAGTTTTGTTAATTTATCGCACATGACGACTAAATATAATTGTTGCCTGAATATGATCTTGGCATCAGCAGCGAGCATTGTGGGGCTTACTATGGCGGTACGACTGTTTATTGGACATGGTCATTAGTAGTTCGGAGGTTCGGAAGATGGGTATGATACCCATTTACGTTCCACTGGAGAATGAACAGATGGAATAGGTACTTTGTTGGGATTAAGGAATGCAATACCGGGATTGCGAGATCCCGAAATACCGGGATCCCGCAGCATTTTTGCGAGATTAATCCCGCACATAAATGGAGCGGGATCCCGCGGGATTTGCGGAACTGAGGAATTTGTCGACCAAGGGGACGACTCTGTTTACTTTGTTAATGAAACTGATAACGGCGAATTATTTTTTAAATAATTGTTAAACTTTTTTCGTTAAAAATGTACTATGATTTTCGAGGCACTTTAGAAGACTTTTTGTGCTTTACAGGTAAGGTTTTTTTGAGTTCTAAGTTAGGTCGAAAGTACTTTTTTGTTTAATATTGTGATAATTAGCGCCTTATTTTAATACAGAAGTTAACCGCACAGAATTGCTTATTTGCCAATTTATTTAAATTTTTGCGAGATCCCGCAAATACCGGGATCTCGCGGGATTAACATCTAACAATCCCGCAAATACCGGGATTGAGATTTTGCTGCGGGATTGCATTCCCTAGTTGGGATGATGGATCTCGGTTATCATCGAGTTTCTCTGTGGCGTCTGTGAAGTCCAGTCGGGCTTTGACTTTCTTCTGAATGCGTGTGAAATGATTTTTCTTCTATTCTGTAAGACGGGGTATAAATCATGAGTAATTTCCATGAGGATAACTGTATGATCCGTGTAGTCTTGAGCAACTGATAGTGGGTCAGGGTTTCCAAAGGCGTTGATGAGTTGATCGAAATCGAAATAACTTACTTACATCTGTCAAATAACGTTTTCTGGGGCACCAGATGTTGCAAAAGACTGTCTGAGGAAAGATTTTCTAGCGAATAATGATATATTTGCTGTCATAAAATCAATAATATTGAGATTTTCAAAGTCATATTAACATTATAGTATGATGTATGGATGTTGTATAAAACTAAAACATAAACACGTAGGTAAACTAACAAACAATCAAATCGCTCACTTTATTATATAGTTCTTTCTGCAATAAAAATGCTTTTAATTTTTTTTAACATTTGTGGTGATTTTTCCGTAGTTATACTGGGAGATAATGCGTTGCACATCTTAATGCCACTATAGGCGGGACTTTTTTGTATTTGGCAGAATATGTTTAGGAATGGACAGGAATGTATGGTAGGAGCTTAGTAAGTGAAGTGGCGCATATTGTTAAATACAAATACACATAGCTTGTAAACGTACACAGTCGGAAGTGTTAACAATTTGTGGTTTTTGACAGATTTGCAAGATTTTAGTGGCTTAAGTTTGAACCTCGGTTTAAACATAAGGTGAATTACAATCCTTTTTTGAGCTACAAGCTCTCTAGATATTTCGGAGGAATTCCCCCAGGCTATAACATTAAACTTCATATGTGGGAATAATAGCCACTCTTATCAAGAATATTAATTATCTTCAACATAACATAATATGCGCTATTTAATTTCTTAGCCATATAATACTGATTTATTTATATACACTACCTTATTTTCAAAGGGACGTTCTAGTTTTATTTGTTTTGGTATTTGGTAGAGACTAAAACGAACGCTTTTTTAATTCTTCGAGCTTTTTTTAATATTGGCGCTAACCGGGCTGATGTCAATCATGAAATTAAAGTACATCATTGAAAAACCATCATGTTCAATTACTTTCTGATACTTGACATATTTTAGTTTAAGTAGGTACTTATATAAAAACCCTGCTGTAGTTGTTAGTTGAATTAATAAAATCCAGAATTTGAATTAGTAATTGGTCCAATTACTTGAAAAGTTACTGTGTACTCAGTGATATATCAAAATTAAGAGCATCATAGTAATTTTTGAAATTCCTTCAGGCTATGAAAATAGTCAGTTCGTAGCGACCATTGAAATAGTTTGAATTAGTAACAGTTTACCGGAGTTACACTATAAAACGTAAAGTGATATGAGAGCGTACTACCTAACGTAAACAGAAATTTTACTCGTGTTGCTATTGAGTTCGCCAATCGTTTGTTTGGACAGAAGAGATAGAGTTAATTGGGCGTAAATTAAATACGAATGGATAAGTGGCAGAAAAATTATTTGGGGCATTGGCAGTGGCCTCTTCAAATACAACACTACTACCTCCACATAATCGAGTCAATTAAAGTCTACGGAATTAAAACCCAAATTTAGAAATTAGTGGATATAAACGAAAAGGGTCACTCCTTTTTTTTAATTAGGTTCGTATGCGAGCGAAAATGCATCCAGTCACTCGTCAAATGAATAATAATAAAGCAAGAAGCTTTTACTAAACATTTTAAAGTAGATCATAAAAAGTTTGAAAAGTTTTTAACTGCCATCTTTGTAGTTAATAGAAAATGTACGATACAGGGTCGTGTCATTATTGCATTATCTCAGATATAAAGCCACAGGGGCCGCTTAGGTTATGTCGTATATCTATATAATAATGTAATGCGAAGCGTCGTGCAAATTGAGACTCATGGCCCCGTTTTTTAGGGATTAAAGATATTCTTTTACATTTTATTTTTTCACCCCTCTTTTAAACTTAAAACACGTTTTATTAGAAATCGAGACAATTTAATGAGAAACTTATTATATACGGCCAGTCGCTTTGCTTCGTTCTGCATGCCTCTGTTTATGTCATGTATTTAATTCTATTCCCTGCACAGATTTTTCTTGTATTTATTTGAAATAATTTGAATTGCATAAATTATATTTGGCCACATAAAAAAATGTGAATTACTACCCAATTTCAGTGAATCATGGTTTAAAAAAACGTGGCATTGTTTGCAGATCCGTAATCACAATATCAACACTCCTCTCGTTTTCTCCTGCTAAAAAAAATAGAATCAAAACAAAAAATGAAATTTTGTATGCGGCATTCGCGAGATACGCGACACATTTACCCCACAGGTGTATTAGATTGCGCATAGTTTACATCTTACACCGTCGCATATTTGCCAAATTATTCTTATTGAAAAACCTGTAATTCAACTTAATCAGAATACAAAATTATTCAATAGTTAATTGATGCATTCGAAAAATCTTCAAAAGATGAAATATAATTTAATACCGATACCCCTATTTGTCACGTGAAGATCAGCATCAAAATTTGCTAATTTAAATATCTAATCACATAGTCTGGTGCATGCGTTTTGTTAAATTTGGGTTATATGCACGCTCCATTTACATAAACAACTAAAATTAGAATTAAGCGTATTCAAAATTTGCGGCCAACTTTGATATTTTACAAGACGAGGTTTATGTAAATTTCCTTTTTGAACAGTTAAATGTTTCCCTACCAACCCTGGTTAAAAACTTGTTTTTAGTACTGGAGACATTGCAAGGCTAAGGTGTTTTACAAAATCAGTCATGCGTTCACTTACCAATACCATTCTTCGAATAGCCAATTGCAAATATGATTCTCAAGTTGGCAAGGTTGCAAGATTTCAATTTTGCTTTGCATTATAATACGAATGAGGTTTCAGAACTCAAAGACTCTGCAGTTATCACGATAAAAAAACCAGGGTTTATCATTGAAATGGAAACGGTTTCATTATTTTTCGATATTTATTTAGATTTACTGCACATATTCCAATTTTTATATGTTGGTTTTTGTTTGTCAATTTAGACGCCGCCGGTTTTTATATTGTTAATTTAAGTATTTTTGTTAAATTCCATTTATTTTTTTTTTGTTTCAGAATTGTTAGAATTTTTTCCTTCTCAATCTTTCACACGCTTTGTGCGGCTTTACAAATTTCATAAAATATCAGTATGCGATACAGGAAATATATATATCATTTTTGTTGGGTTAAGGCTTCGACTACTTAGGTTTTCTCTCGGTATAACTATTATTCCTTCAATACTGTCCACCTAAATTCATTGGTATAGTTGACTACTCTTACAATTAACACAGGTAGATTGCACCATGTGTATCTTTGCTACATACACATACCTGAACTTGAACAATTCATATCAGTGTGGCTAAACTTTTGACATCTGTAACATCTCATCGGAGCTGGTACATACAGACGAGCTGGTAGCAAATAAAAACCTGCTTCAACCTTATCGGGGAATTTTATTTTTATTAAAAGTTAATACATGAGAAGCATTGTGTACTCCCTCATCTCCCATTCCAGAATAACCCTACGTGTTTGGTTTAACGTACTGCGCAATAACATTCACAGTAAATTGGCCGAGAGCTTTAATTTTTTGAATGAACTTGTGATTGTTTACTGGATGTAGTTTCAACAAGCAAACCTTCCCTAAACTCTTTAATCTGTTTTAGTTCCCCTACGGTGGTACAGGCGCGAGGAATGAAACTGCCGGGTCGCTCATCAGCACGATTCCGACGCTGGTCCGACCCAGACAGTCCACCGCCCATATGGTTTGGTTATAGGAGGGTACGATGAGGAGTTGTTTGACAGGTAAGTACGAAAAGGGGCTTGACTAGCCTCCTTCCGTTTTGTTCAGGTACGTGGGGTCGCAACTCCCCAAATTTTAGAAAAAACAAATCCCTTGCGGTGTTTGTTTGTTTTTACACGAATTTTTGCAAAAATAGCTTTTTCGAATCTTTTGCGTATTATTCGTGACAATGCGATCACATTCATGCACAACATATAGGTAACAATTTGATGGTACGTTTCTGTCGTAAAATCGCCTTATATAGCAAAGTCGCTATAACGCGCTGACTTTATTACAAACATTCTTGGCATAAATAGCGATAATTTCTCCAAACCTTTATAATTTCATAATGTCCCCGGTAGCTGCCGTATGGATTCTTTGTTTTGGTTTTTTATGGGCTTTAGTAAGTGGAGCTTCAGAAGCACAACGTAAGTATAATGTATTATGGCTAAAAATTATATGCAACATCTTTAGTAGATGGTGACACAGTATCCAAAACAATTGAGGTGTGCTTTCCGAACAAATGGGCTCCGATCAAAATTTGCGTAAAAATCAAAGTGTTCTTAGATGAAAGCAGGGATTTTATGTCGTTGTGCCCGTCCATTTCCATGGTCGAGATGGGTTTAAATAATCTTGAGCTCACCTGTCTGATTGTGGGAGGTAGCGGAATTCCCTTCAAATTGGTCCCTGCCAACCTTGGGCAATAGATATTATTTATTATTAAATTAATTAATCTTACAACGAATAAATCCCCTTAATTTAATTTCATTAGTGCGCATATCAATTGATCACCTGGATTACCATGCGACACATTTCTTTATCTGGTAACGACCTGCAGCAAACGCATGAATTTATTTGTTTCTGACTTAATTGCGGAAGATCCTTAATAAAACTAAATCCCCAGGGTTAAATGTTGTACAACACGCGTTAGGTACATCAAGTGCCCGCACTTTCTAACGTTTTTTTCAGCGGATATGCAATTCTACAAGTTGTAATCCGTTTGGAGTTAAACCCTGTTAATTCGTGAACTACTACATTTGAAAATAACTCAAAATTTTGCAGCTCGTACGCTGGGCTGCTAATGGCAATACGTTGGAGATAATCTTCCCAATTCCACATCACAAGGGGCCCCGTATTGATGAACGAACTAGTTGCATATCCCAAAATTTCAATTTTTTTTCCACAGTTTAGAAATAAATTTGGTACCATGGTCGTATTAGTAAACGAAGGTAAACGTCCAGGACTACACATACAAATGTAAGTCCGGCGCGACTGGATGGAAGAAAACCGTAGATATGAAGGCCTACAAGATCGTTTTGTTACATCGCTAGCATCCGTATTCAAACAGTAGGGCAAATCTTCTCTCGGCTGCCAGAGTTGCCTTATCTTTGAATTTGTATTACTGTTTAACGTTTTGTGGAGTTGAATGATCTCTTATGGTCAGAATATACGCATGGGATCTGGTCGAACCCCACGGGCATCTAGCCATATCCTACAAAAGGCGAAATCTCTCACCATTAAATTCCAACCGGTATTTTTGCGATTCGTTTGCTAAAAAGGTATTTGCCAATACCCAAATGCAAAATTTCTTCAATGGGGGTTGGGTTTTGGTGCTCCATTCTTAGTACTGAATCTAAATGTCGTGCATCCAGGCAAATTGTTACCATTATCGGGGGATATGTACGGAGTAGCCTGGCGTGTAATTACTCCCTATGTTTCCATTTAATTTAATTGAATTTATACCGCCGTTCGGTGCATAACTGGAACCCTCCTTATGGAAGTCCCTCCATAATATATAATATGACATGTTTGTATTATTTAGTGCGCCCGGGTTTTCCGGAAAAGAGGTTTTAATATACTGCGCAGGGGCGGACTGGCCCGGGGGGGCGGGTGGCGATTGCCACCTGGCCTGTACGTCATAATGGCCCGTTGGAAATTTATAAGTATGTGCTGTATTTAGTTTCTTGCACTATTAATAAATTATTAACACGTTTCTCTAATTGGGGTTGATGTTAGGTTGTTAAACAATTAAAAAATTCTGTTTTAATTGAAGTGTTTTACAATGAATTTATCATTTTTTGTCGTAGCATGAAAGTGATGAAATACAATGATAGGCGACGCGCCTCGTTTGGATTGTATATTTTGTTACTTTTAATTATCAGCTGCAATTTAAAAAAAAACTGTATTGTAATTGATTTCCGAAAAAGGAGTACCTTAAAATGAAGCAAAAAATGTTTTTGTGGTGCACCGCAGAGCTACCCCCCGCCACCTTCATTACTACACTAATACTTTAATGGCCCGTAACCTATGCAATTCCACCTGGCCCGCCCCTGACTAGAAACCAATTTCGAAAGAAAATTCAAAGGGCTGTAACCTTCCTTTTTTACCCAAAATCGACTGCACCAAAATTTCTCGGGAAAACACTTTTTCTTATTAATTTTGGTGCGTAGAATCCAAAACAATTCGTACTTTTTCGATCAGACTTCTCATTCAAAAGTTATGGACTAGAAACCAATTTCGAAAAAAAATTCAAAGGGCTGTAACTTTTGAACTAGTAGCCCAATCTTGGAACTGTTTGAAAATATGGATTCTACAGGCCACATTCCATAAGAAAATTTTTTTCCGGGTCGATCTGAGACAATTTTTTTTTCGGGGCTCAAAAAAAAGCAGTGTATAACCTTCCTTTTTTACCAAAAATCGACTACACCAAAATTTCTCGGGAAAACACTTTTTCTTATTAATTTTGGTGCATAGAATCCAAAACAATTCGTACTTTTTCGATCAGACTTCTCAATCAAAAGTTATAGACCAATTTCGAAAGAAAATTCAAAGGGCTGTAACTTTTGAACTAGTAGCCCAATCTTGGAACTGTTTGAAATTATGGATTCTACAGGCCACATTCTATAAAAAAAATTTTTTCCGGGTCGATCTGAGACAATTTTTTTTTCGGAGCTCAAAAAAAGGCAGTGTATAACCTTCCTTTTTTACCAAAAATCGACTGCCCCAAAATTTCTCGGGAAAACACTTTTTCTTATTAATTTTGGTGCGTAGAATCCAAAACAATTCGTACTTTTTCGATCGGACGTCTCAATCAAAAGTTATGGACTAGAAACAGGGGCGGACTGGCCTGGGGAGGCGGGTGGCGATTGCCACCTGGCCTGTACGTCATAATGGCCCGTTGGAAATTTATAAGTATGTGCTGTATTTAGTTTCTTGCACTATTAATAAATTATTAACACGTTTCTCTAATTGGAGTTGATGTTAGGTTGATAAAAAATTAAAAAATTCTGTTTTAATTGAAGTGTTTTACAATGAATTTACCATTTTTTGTCGTAGTATGAAAATGCTGAAAACTGTATTGTAATTGATTTCCGAAGAAGGAGTACTAAAATGAAGCAAAGAAATGTTTTTGTGGTGCACAGCAGAGATACCCCCCCCCCCCCCCGCCACCTTCATTACTACACTAATACTTTAATGGCCCGTAACCTATGCAATTCCACCTGGCCCGTAAGGTACCCAGTCCGCCCCTGATACTGCGTATATAAACCTTTTTATTATCGGAGATGCGGACCTGCATATCTCCTCCACTTAGGGGTTAAAATTGTAGAGGCCCAAATAGTGCCGTACTTATATTGCCTGGATAAAAAGAAAGAAGCGATTGTTGTTGTACCCTACATGGCTGTTTTTGAAAGCCCCTGTAACTCGCACATCTGTATAGCCAAATGGAATTTGTTCATGAACTACCAGACTTTGTCAAAGATGAAATTTTTAACGGGTTACGTTACCTTGCCGTTCATCGCTTTTGGGTTAACGAATGGTTTTGGTTGCGCCACTGCCGCAACTTAAATCACGTCATTCCTTCGAAGTTAGGGTTGCAAACCGTCGTTTATTTTAAAAGTATGTCTTTTCTCCATTTTTGAAACATGAAAGAATTGCAAACGTTCTATGAAATACGGAATTGTAAATTAATGCATTTAGCATTAAATACATTCCCATATACCCCATAAATACGATATTTTTAAGTTAAGAGTATAATGTAATAAAAACTTCGTTAAGCCGATTGTGAGCAAGAAGAGCGAAGAGTCCGATTTTAATAGCCCATATGGATCATGCCTTAACGAGAATACAAATACGAAATAATTTTTAATTTCTGATCGAATGACACCAATACCAAGTCTCTGTGGTGGTGTAGTTCCGGAGCCTTTGGTGACTCAGACAGACAGACATCAAGAGCGCAAAAGTGCACTTTTTATTTTTTTAAGTGAAAGTGCACTAAAACTGCTGGAAACACCTAAAAAATGTCAGGAAATTACATTTTTTATCCAAAATTATCTATTATAAAGACTTGTTTGAGCTCATATTGGTAGAATGGTAGATGTATAACGAATATTTAGCAAATTAACTTAAGATGAAATTATAATGTTATTCGGGAGCACAAAATGAATTAGGATTGGTAAAGTGACACCCAAAAATTTCCCAATGTGTCCTCTATTTCAATTACCGAAAGTTGGCAGTCCTACCTGAAGTAAGACAAAAGTTAATGCACCAAAGACAGGAATCTTAATTGGCATTACCTTGTTGAAATATTTCCCCAGTTCCACCTGTTACTGTTCCCTATGAAACAATCACTGCCATATGTGAAAGTATAGTTCTTTTTAGTAAAAATGTGTGTGCTGAAACAACCCCTATCGATTAACCCGGCAATTTTATAGGGACTCGTCTAACGATGTTTTGGTAACCCTAAAAAATAACGGAAACAAAACTGTTTGTTAATAGCAGAGAAATGCCAAAATAAAGTTGCTTGATCAAGGTACAACATCAGTGGATTTATACCTTTGATAACAAGGCGTGACGTGAGTTTCTTCCTAATGTCCAGTAGAAAACGCCGGTAATTTATAAGTAATAAGGGCTCAACGACGTTGATTTTTGTAGCTACTTTAAAATATGTAAGGAAATGTATCTGCTTCAACAAATCACAAGTTCTAAATAATGTAAACAATCAAGTTCGCACATTAATATGGGTAATTTAATTCAGTTACAAAGGAACGTGATTAAATTTAAATTATTTATTACGCGAGGGAGAAAGAGCTATTCAAAGAACAGTACCGCGAAAGGGATGTAAGTTGTATTAAGGGATTCACAAGCTGAGTTTCCCTTCTTGTACCCTCTGGGACACGACGACAGTTGGATTAAATGCAGACTCCTTCAGATGTCACCTTTGCTTAAATTAATTATCAATTAAGAAGTAGAAATTGTAACGACAGAAGGCTAAAGCAGGCTAGAAATTGTAAACAAATACGCATAGATATCTATAATTTTTTGCGATTTATCGTTAAACGTCAAGAAATAAATATGGTAAGCATTAACGCGAACGGGAAGAGGGAAACGCGTTACTTTACGACATAACGGGACCCGCTTAAAAGTCAACAGGAATTTGTGGGTATGTATGTGGATAACTAAAGGGGCAAACTTTTCCACCTATAAATCGTGTTTTAAAAGGATGAAAAAACTGCTTCTAAATTTATTGCCCAAATTTATTCCGCATATTAGAAGAACAATTTCAATTCACGTAAAAAATAATAATAACAAAAGCGTAAATAATAAATAATGCGAACGTGATTAAAAAGTATACTGGTAGTGACACCTTGCAAAAGGCAACATACCTCGCTTTATTATCGTCCCATTGCCGCTTCCGTATCCCAAAGGAAATTATAAAATACACACTTATCTTCTGTTTGTATCGTACTACAGAACATAGACACCAAATA